ACCTTAAAGTTTGAGAGCATGCCCCTTGGTCTTCTTATCTTCTTCCTCCATAGTTACTTCCTTGGTAACCTCAACCAGTCTTGTGTTTGTAATACCACCAAATACTAATGACACCCAAACTTGTATATTTGGCCCAGATAATTCCTGTTTGCCAAACACATGTTCAACTGCTTTCTTAAAATCCCTAGTTGGATGTCTGGCTAATAGACATCTAAAATATGACATATCCAAAATCAAACCTTCTTCTTTACCACTCCATCTAAGGCCCCCTCCAAAAAGTGTTTCTCTTGCAGTTTCCATCATCTCAGTAAATAGCAACTCCCTCTTTCAATTACTCAGGCCCAAATCTTTGAGGTCATCTCTGACTCTTCCTTCTCTGACTCTGTATCCAATCCATCAGAAAATCCTTTGGTTTCTACCTTCACAATGTATGCAGAATCTGACTCCTTCTTAAGGCACCTTAAGCTGGGGTATGGAGAAATTAAAATTAAAGAATAAAAAGCCAACTCTTTTTAAAAGCCACCTCCACTGTCACTAACCACAGTCTAAACACCATCAAATGCTTTCCTGGATTACTGCAATAGCTTCCTAATTAATCGCCTGGCTTCTACCTTTGCTTCCTTTGCAGCCTCTTCTCAATATAGTACCTTTCTTTTAAGATGCAATTTAGACTATGTCAATCCTCTGCTCAGAATAATTTTTTTAAACTGATTGAAAATGGAAGTTCTTACAATGGTCCACATTCTACAAGGCCCTGCATGATATGATCCTTGTTACTTCTCTTGCTGCCTCTCTTACTATCCCCTATGTCCAATCCAATCCAGCCATACTGGCCTTGCTATTTCTAGAGCACTCCAGAAACATTCTTCACTCAAGTCTTTGCACTCACTGATTTCTCTGTGTGCAATGTTCCTCCCTCAGATATCCACATGCATACCCTCATTTCTTTCCTGTCTTTGATCAAATGTTGCCTTATCAATGAAATTGTCCCCAATGGCCCTATTTAAAACTTCAACCTGCCCTCACTCAAAGCACTCCATATTTTCCATCCTTTGTTTCTCACTAATACTAATTTATGTCTAATTTATATTCCTCCCACTGATAAAAACTCCTATGGAAAAGGGTCAAGCCAAAACTGCCAAGGTCATTAAAAACAATAAAGTCTGAGAAACTGTCACAGCCTAAGAAGACAGGACAAGTAAATATAATGTGGTATCCAGATGAGATCTTGGAAAAGAAAAAAGACTCAAATAAAAATTAAGGAAATCTGAATAAACTATGGACTTCAGTTAATAATAGCATATCAAACTGTAACGAATACACCACTTTGGTATAAGGTATTAAATGGAGAAACGTGATATGAGAGTATTTGGGAATTTCTATAATTTTTTCAGGAATTTTTTAAATCCTGTAATAATTTTTCTGTACATCTAAAATTTTCTTTTCTTTTTGTTTTTTTTTTTTTTTGAGACAGGAGACTCAAGCTGTCCCTGTGGGTAGAGTGCCGTGGCATCACAGCTCACAGCAACCTCCAACTCTTGGGCTCAAGCGAGTCTCCTGCCTCGGCCTCCCGAGTAGCTGGGACCACAGTCCCCCCCCCACCCCCGCCACAACGCCTGGCTATATTTTTTGGTTGCAGCCGTTGTTGTTGTTTGGCAGGCCCAGGCTGGATTCAAACCCGCCACCTTGGGTGTACGTGGCTGGAGCCTTAGCTACTTGAGCCACAGGCACCGAGCCACATCTAAAATTTTCTAAAAAATGAATTCTATTACAAAGGGAGAGATCAGGTTAGATGGGTTAACTGTACAATAAAAATGATACCTTTTACAGTGTTAAATGTAAGCAAATCAAAAAATACTATCCTGAAAATTTATAATGAATCTCAGCATAGTAAATATCATTAACATCTTAGAAATAAATATAAAAGAAAGATGCCTACTATTCATGAATCAAAGTTCTGGTTCAGCAATCATGCAAGAGAGCTAGTAAAATAAGGACATCATAATAAGATTAACTTTGGAGGACAGATCTTTTCACGGGCTATATACAAATTCAGACAATGATGTTCACAAACTCATCCTAAAAAAGTACTACATACCTTATTTTTAAATATGACTATGTCACCTTCAAGGTACCCCCCTTGGGAAGCTATCACATCGATGCCAGCACCCAGTCCATCCCTGAAGGCACATTTTTTAGGATGAGTTTGTGAACTTAATTGTCATACCTCATATGATAACAGCTCCTATGGCCATTACAGAATAAGAGTTCCAAAATTGCTTTGAAGAGTGTACTCCCCTTGAAAATGACTACAGTGATATTCAGCAATGAGTTATGTAGCACTTTTTCTTGGATGAGTTCATGAACTTAATTGTCCCATCTGTATCTTTAAGAACTTTGTCTCTACTTTCTATTGTGTAAATTCAGACTAAAGTCAAAAGACAAAATTAGAAAGATAAAGAAAAAGAGAGGAAGAAGAAAAAAATAGTGGTTCAACAAAGAAATAAAGACTTCAAACTCACTGAAACACAGAACAAATAAAATTAATAACTAAGCCAGCTATAAAAATAATAGGAAACGAAAAGATATTCAAACAGGATTAAACAACAAAGTATAACACTGAAAAAGTACAATAAAGTTAAGATATAATCTAGAATTTTTAAAAAGTTAAGGAAAAGTTCCAAAAACAATTAATTCCTACACACTTAGAAAAGCAAGAAATACAATAGTGCACCACTGAAGAAATGTTTTTTAAAAAGTTATGAACCATGTTATATTCATCTCTTTATTCCCCATTGTGTCTGCACCTAACAGTTATTCAGTAAATTTTTTAAATGAACAATTCATTTATATTATAGCTAAATGTTAATTCTCCCTAAGAGATCACAATATCCAAAAGCAAAGCCACAGGAATCTAAAGCAGAGAGACCAGCAATTGTTTTTCTATAATTTCAACATGACATCAGAAGGAAAATCTTGATTTAGGTTTCAAAAGTTAGTAAGATACATTTAGATTCTTAAAATAACTTACATTGCCCAAACAATAATAAATACTTAAGAATATTAGTACAAGAATATATTTTTTAAAAAACGAACATCACATCTTAAATATATACTTGCTAAGATTAGTTTAAAAGTATTTTTATACATTGTGAAATGATTATTGTAATTAAGTAATTAACATAGCCCTCAACTCACATACTATAGTTATCTTTGTGTGTTTTTTGGGAGGGGGGGAACACTTAAGATCTACCCTCCTAGCAAATTTCAAATATATAATACAGTATTACTATTTTTACCATGCTGTACTTTGGATCTTAGAAGTTTTACCTATAAGGATGTCCATAAAGTTCATATGCAATTTAAATTAGTTAAAATAGTAATTTTTTAAAATCACACATGAACTTTATGAACACCATATATAGCTGAAACTTTGTACCCTTTAACCAATGCCTCCTCATTTCCTCCATCTCTCTCCCATAACCCATAAAAATTAGCCATTTTACTCCCTGCTTCTATGAGTTCACCTAAAAATATTTTTGAAAAATTAGTACTAGTTATACAAAATACTTTAGGAAGTATATATAAACCTGGTTTTGGGGGCAAAAAATGTTTTTAATAATTGCTAGAAGTATAAACTGTAGAAAATTTAAACTTATGAAAGTAGCAGGTTCAATTGCATTTATATATGCCTAAGTAATTTTAATCATACATGAGCATACATATTTTAATCACATGCAATCATCAAAAGAATAAGCCAAAAACAAAAAAGAACAGGTTAGTATTTCTGTATTCCTATAAGCCAAAATCCTATTTAGGTAGGATGTGGAACTGGGGAGATTCATCACACATAGCCTTGCCACTGAGAAAATCTAAAACCATTATGATTTGATATCTTTGTGGAGGATATTTATAAAAGAATGTATATATAAATGTGTGTGTATATATATATATATTTCCCCCCCCCCAGAGACAGGCTCTCTCTCTGTCACCCAGCTAGCCTGCTCACAGCTCACTGTGAACCTCAATTTCCCAGGTTCACACAATCTTTCAGCCTCAGCCTCAGCTAATTTTTAATTTTTTTTTAGATGGGGCCTTGCTGTGTTGCCCAGGCAAGTCTTGAGCTCCTGGCTTCAAGCAATCCTCCTGCCATGGCCTCCCAAAGTGCTAAGATTACAGGCATGAGCCACTGCCCCTGGCCAAGGATTTTCTTTTCAAAGTTCTAAATGTCATCTTAACTTTACAGAGTAGGCTACAATACTGATAAACTGCAAAAATTAAAGTTAAATTTTTAAAAGCAGTATATTCTACATTGCAATAAAAGCTGTACAAACTAATATTATTAAATATAGAACAAAGATAAAAGTCATTGTAAACTCAAAAATATCTTTTCATATGTCAGTCTTGGGATTATTTTATATAATCACTTAAAATATTAGCTTTTAAATTTTACATAATATTTAATGATATAATAGTGACGGCTTTATTATAATATAGTAATGCAAACTCAAAAAGAAAGAGTTAACATTATTATATAGCAGTAATTCATTTTTCTTATTTCTAAATTATTTTATTCTCTTCCTAAATAAGTGCTATTGTAGAAGAAACTTCAAATTTAACAGGAATCTTCATTATATTTCTCAAAAATAAAACATAAAAAGGTAAGGAAGTTCATAACAGTTATTCTAAGAGATCATAGTTTGAAAGGGAAAAAAATCTTATGAAATATTAGTGGAATTACATTTCAAAAGACTAAAACCAATTATATATATAAAACCAATCAACAGATATTGGATATCTTATCATAGCTTATCAACATATTCACATAAAATAAAAAAAAATTACTGCCATCTACCTCAAATTAATTCCAAATTATCAAACATCAGTTAACATAAAAGCATTCTACATAAGTTTTTACACACCTTCAACACACTTTTGAACTCACTTGGGTAAATATGGATCTTTCCAACAGCAGCAGCAGTTTCTACAAAGTTATTTACCTTGTCCAGGTCTTGCAGTTACAGCTGCTCCAGCAGATGGCGGCTCAAACTCCTGTCAATTACAATCATGTTATTACAGTGACCTATTATTACAAGGTGCAATTTATAATAAAATAGTAGTGATATCACAGCCTTACCTTTGCTTTCTTTGAATCTGGATCAAACCTTTCAAGGATTAATTTCGCCGTCTTATAAGTTTCTTTTTCCATGACTTCTTCAAGCTATGAACAAAAATTTCCACAAATTTTCACACTTAAAATATACCTACTACTTATTTTTATAAGTCCTATTCAGAAAGTATTCAAGTACGAGGCTTAAAATAACACATAATATATCCAGATACAACAAAAGACTTCCTACATTCAAATAATTAAAATCCAGATTTTAAAATGGTTTCTAACCTCTAATATGTTACTTGTACTCAACAGCTTTACTGCAAGGAAATACCAAATATTGCTAATTGTTTACATATAATGAGGAGAATAATTACATGCTCCAACTTCAATAATGGAATGTGCAAAAATCTATCAGCCATCATTATTGGAAGTTATTAGACATGACAAGCAAATGACAGGCAATTCCTCAGATTTATTTCCTCGTAGCACTTAATGCTATTAATTTAAAGAAGGTCGTTAGCCAAGAGCTTTACAAAATAAAATCTCTGTGCCAATTAACTGCTGTCAGCATCGATTTTAGATTATTTATTAGCACAAGCAATTAACTTGCTGCAAATGCAATGAAAACTCACTAACTGGGAGAACAGCCATGGAATTTGCTCAGATGACTTTAAAAGATAAAGCCAACTCTGCCCCCCCTCACTTATTAACTTAGATTCAAGGAACTTTAGAGGGAAAAGAAAAAACCAGAACATAGTATTTAAGTAAAAATTTTACTGAGTTTTACACTCATACTAGGGACTATAATTAAAACACTTCATTATTATAACACTTTATTTACAATGTACGCAAATCACTTTATAGCTTAATACATGGGTTTAAACTTAAAATGTAGTCACTAATAAAGTATCGCTTTAACAGTTATGGCCCAACATCAGAAAAAGTTGAACTTTGGTACAAGACAGTCATAGTTATGACAATTACCTAATGTGTAGGATAAAATGCTTTTACAAAAATTGGAATGGAACCTTTTCTTTCTCAATGATCACTGATAGCCCCTTAGATTCATTAAATGTCATATTCACTCCAAAGGACATTTATTTTAAAATGCAGCCCAGAACATATTCTGAGTTGAAAATATAGTTTAAAATACGCTGCCACAATAGCAGTTAACAGCTTCCTCATTAAACACTAAATTCAACATATAAGATGCTAGATTCTTAGATGAACTATTTTTTTAACCTAGTTTAGCAAAACTAAAATATTTTCCTAATTATTTCAAAATTAGGATAAACTGTCAAAATAAGTAAGTTGACTTTTCTGATGTAAATAAAAAGTTTATAATAACACTATAGGAAAAAGTATTAGAAAATTAGGAATGGAGTTAGAGAAAGGACATGATAAAATACATCCCCAACCTACATGAAATATTAAAATACCAAATCCCCGACCTCTTACAAATTAGATATTTAATGTTTTGGGCCACTGTTGTACAATAAAACTTTATATAATGATGGATATGGTCTATAATAGCATAATAGTCACCATTAGGCCATATGCAATAAATGCACACTTTAAATGTTGCTTATGCAACTGAGGAACTGAATTTATAATTTTATTTCATTTTAAATAAGTTAAGTTTAACAACTATGTGGAGCTAGTAGCTACTGCTTTGGAAAGCAAAGCTTTATCCAGACCACTGTTTTTAACCTTTTTTATCTCACGGTGCACTTGATTCTATAATTAAACTTCCACCACACACATAAACTGTGTTGATCCATATAAAGAGTAAAAAAAAAAAAAAAACTTACTGTGCTTTGAACTTCTTTCAAAAATAATTTAATGATTTTTGAAAATGTTTGTGGCACACCTAAGATCCTCTCACAGCATACCAGTGTACTGAGGTTGAAAAACCCCGCTTTAGACTAAGACTATCACTAGGTTTTAAAAGATTAGATACAACTGTGATCTGTAAAACAATACAAAAACTCAAAACCAAAATGCTATATCATCAAATAACTGCAATTCCTCCTAGATTATTCAGCAAGTATTCATGTTTATGCTTCATTTATCTTAAATAAAAATTTTAAAAGGACTAAGAAATACAAATCCATTCCCCTTTTGCATGTACTTCTAACAAAATGTTTTCACATATTAGCTTAACACAGCCATTTGACATTTTAAGTTAATAACATGTTTTAAATAGGTACTCTAATCAGTGGCAAGGACATGAACTTGAAACTTAGAACTCAGAAAAGATCTAGGTTCAAAGCACATTTCCATTCTCAGTCAGCAGAAGACCATGTGCACACTCCATAGCCTTTCACAGATATTTCCAATTCTTCTGTGTTACTCCATTGAAAGATTTTCCCTAATCATATCTTTTTCAACAGTCTGTTTTCTGGTCACATAATGTCAATGACATTGTGCTATTTCTCATCACTTACAATTTTTATCCCTTTTTTTGTTTTTCTTTTGTCTTCTTTTCCTTTGTTTTTTATCCTTTAACCAATATTTCTCCATTTTAGTACAAAAAAGAATACTACCAGGTTCTTTTTATCTCACCAACAAACTCAATCGTATCACAACTTTCGTATCACTAAGACCATCAGTATTCTCTCTTTGAATCTGGCTGTTCCATAATGTGTAAAACATATTAAAAACAGAAACATAATAAAAAGATATTTCTATGTTTCAATTTAGGACCATCAAAATTACCAACCCAGTTTTAATAAATACCTCACAGAACACCAAAGAAGCATCAAACAAAGCTAAGGCATCTGTCCAGAATTAAATTCCTTTACTTTTCAGGTACTTAAAAACCTTAAGACCAGTGTCTTTTTTTTTCTTTTTTGAAACAGAGTCTCATTTCGTCACCATCGGTAAAGGGTCTGGCATCACAGCTCACAGCAACCTCAAACTCTTGGGCTCAAATGATTCTCTTGCCTCAGCCTCCCAAGTAGCTGGGATTATAGGCATCCACCACAATGCCTGGCAAAGCTGTTTTTTTAGAGATGGGGATCTCACCCTTGCTCAGGCTAGTCTCAAACTTCTGAGCTCAAGGGATCCATCTGCCTGTGCCTCCCAGAGTGCTAGGATTACAAGTATGAGCCAATATGCCCAGCCCAGGACCAATGTCTTTTATCATCAATTCACAGAAAAATTTTTAACATTAGTCTTCACCATCATAATTTTTATTACTTTCATACATAATTATTACTTGTCATAAATTAGACTAAAATCATTGAACTGAATTGATCATTTGCATCTGATTAAATTTCATTTAAAATGTTTCCATGTAACATGATAATACTATCAGCAATTATCATTTTCACATTTATAAAATAATCTTATCAAAAACTTAAGTAGGTCAGGCATGGTGGCTCACACCTATAATCCTAGCACTCTGGGAGGCCGAGGGACAGGTGGATTGCTTGAACTCACAGGTTTGAGACCACCCTGAGCAAGAGTGAGACCCCCATCTCTAAAAATAGCCAGGCTTTGTGGTAGGCACCTGTAGTCCCAGCTACTTGGGAGGCTGAGACAAGAGAACTGCTTGAGCCCAAGAGTTTGAGGTTGCTATGAACTGTGATGCTATAGCACTTTATGGAGGGTAATAAGTTAAGACTCTGTCTCAAAAAAAACAAAACAAACAAACAAAAAAAAACAACTCAATTCTAAGACAAACATCAAGTTCAATTCCCTTATTACAGACTATTATATATCAACCTGCAAACATCTAGAGGCCTTTCTCTCTCTCCCCACCTTTTTTTTTTATAAAGAGATTGGATTTTGTCATGTTGCCCAGGCTCAAGGAATCCTCCCCATTAGTCTCCTAATTAGCTGAACCCTTCCTCTATTGTTGGCCCTTTTTCTAACTGAACTGAAGGATGCATTTTACTAGCCCCAAGCAATACCCATGTGATCAGAGTTCCTGATAGAAAGTTGAAGACATTGAAGAAAAAGCTTCTTTCTCTCTTTCCCTTTCTTCAATCTTTTCATGTTGAATTTGTCTCTTACGATCAATTTTCCTGATTTCTTCTCTCTTGGCCTTATGGTGTAAAAAAACCCTAAGAACTGACATAGATAGATATTTGGTCCTTTTTTGGTTTTAATAAACAATTTGGGCATTCACCTTTTTTACCTTCTCTGCTTCATTTAGTCCTCCAATATATTTCTTTTATTTATTTATTCTTTTTGAGACAGAGTCTCACTATGTCACTCTCGGTAGAGTGCTGTGGTGTTACAACTCACAGCAACTTCAAACCCTTAGGCTTAAGTGATTCTCTTGCCTCAGCCTCCCAAGTAGCTGGGACTACAGGTGCCTGCTTCAACGCCTGGCTATTTTTGTTGCAGTTGTCATTGTCGTTTCGCTGGCCCAGGCTGGGTTCGAACCCTCCAGTCTTGGTGTATGTGGCAGACATTGTAACCACCATACTACCAGAACCAAGCCAGTCCTCCAATATATTCTTTTAAATACTTCTTGGCTTTCAACTAACACAGATTCTCAGAATCTCAAAAGTCCATCTAAACTACTTTTCCTGTCAATCATTATTAACTAGCAAAAATATATATAATTTAGCTTCACAATTAAAATGCTATCTAAAAGCATACTTGTTCCTTGGTGAGTCATTAGCTTACAACATATAAACATTAATTATTCGCTTCTTATTAGTTTTATATAGATTAACTTTAAGTAAAAGTTAACTTACTATTTTTTTCTTCTGGGATTTTAAATCATCCAATGCTTCATCTAGAAAACAAGAGTTAAATCAAAACTAAATGAAATATTAAGAGACTTAGATATAAGAAAAATAATGCCAAATTCTATATATTAAGCAAACATGAGACAATTTTCTCATTTTAGGATTTCTCTAAATTTAACTAATGTGTAGAGACAAAACCTTTATCTGAACCTTTACCCACATATAGTTCATATTTTTGCCTATATTGTACATTATAAGCCATTTAGGAAAAGAATAGACTTTACATAGAATAAAACACCTTTCCAAATTTAAAAATATTTTTAAATGTGTTCAGAAACATTATTTTCTATTATTTCTCTTTTCTTTCAACACTCTACACCATACCTACATTAATTTACAAAATTAATAGCAAATCTGTTTTTACATATTGGTAATAAAAATGTTCTCTCCTTGTTTATAAGGAAAGAAGTACATATTTTGTTGAGTTAGCCAACCCTCAAAATACTGAGCACTTTACTGAAGAAAACTTTTTTAAGCTCTGAGGTGAACCCAGAGTAAGAAAACCTTTCAAAATCTACGTTATTGTACCTGACAGGACTTGGAAAGTGACACTAACAACTTTCTAAAATCAAACATTTCTAATATTTGCCTGCTTATAAAGGTTGGTACAGTGGAACACATTTCAGATGGAAACCATTTATGAAAGTCAATGTCTGCTTTACAAATTTATTTGGGTCTCTGGGTTTTATCTAAAAATATTTAATATAAGTAGGACTACTATTCCATATAAAATAAAGAGTTATTACTTGATTTAAACAAGTCCACAAACTCAACAGAAATCAAGCAGGTGGGAAAGGGGAAAAGGGAAATGGGTAAACTCGCCTAATAGGTACAATGCACACTATCTGGGTGATGAACACAGACTTTTAACTTGGACTCAAATCGTACAAAAGTAATTCATGTAATCAAAACATTTGTACTCCTATAATATTTTGAAATTTAAAAAAAGATATCAATTGCTTGAGCCCAAGTTAGAGGTTGCTGTGAGCTATGACACTACAGCACTCTATCCAGGGCAATAACTTGTTTAAAAAAAAAGCTGTCAACACTCAAAAAGTTTTAGATTTTGGAGGATTCCAGATTTTCAGGTTTGGGATGCTCAAGCTGTTATAACAATGGTACTCAAGTTCTTGTTTTTTGTAGTTTAGGTCTACCACTAAAAAGAACAGACTATTTTGTAGGAATGGATAACTTCATTGAGGGTCAAAGTTAAGGGTTCTCTGTGATCAAAATGGATTACAAATAATAATTCATTAATGCTGATTTGTAATGAGAGTTTATATATTTGGTTTTTTAAATGCCTTTTCATACAGCCAAATGTTGATATCGATTCATGAATACACAATTTTAACTGAGCAGATTCATCATTTGGAAGACATTTATAAAACTCAGAGTCTTCTCTTGATATTTGCCTTTTAGAGTGTCATTACATTGTAAATCAATCACTCCTGATCAAACATTGGAGTTCCTCAATTATATAGTTAAATGGTTTAGAAATATAAAAATTGCCTTTGCTCTTAACACTGAGGGCTAAAAAACGCTACTGAAACTGTAGTTTGAACTCAGATAATGAAGGCATTTGCTGCAAATATGTGTGGAAATGGTGATCTGGCTTCTGTTTTAACTTTGCATAGCACTTTTTTATAAGTTACTTTTTGTCATGACAATGTTAGTTGTTTTCCATATAACTTTACCTCAGTATAGGTTTTGCATCTGTGTATTGGTTTGCCTTGGATTCATTGAGAATCATTTTAAAGTCTGTAGCAGAAGCCAATTTCCAAAGCCAGTCTGTATTCAAACATAGCGGTTAGCAGTTGAAGGTGATCCTTCTCATTTTGAAATATTTCAATCTGGGCCCTGAGCTCAAAATGTTACAATAAACCTTGACTACTGCTAAGCCATCAAACTGCTGTGTGATGGGCCATGTCAAGATATCCAACTTCCATTTCTGATAAAAGTTCACATAACTGACAATAAAGTTCAAGTTCTCCTTGATGCTACTAGTTCAAAAATACAATGACAGATTCAAATATGCTCTGCAAAGTACCTGCTGTTGAATAATACAATGAATAAACACAGAATTTAAACACCCAGACAGTAAGGGCCAATCTTTTTTTTTCTGTCACACACTGGAAGAATAAAAGTTGTCTTGGATCACACTGAAAATACACAAACACTAACAAAAGCCGATGACCAAAAGAAAAGGTCCTTGCATACTTTTTGTGATCTCCAGTACCACAGAAAAGCAAAAACAGCCCCCCAGAAAGGCAAAAACAGTCCTCAATCTGCACTCAGCCTGGAAGCCACAAGTTGGACACCCCTGCCTTACAATTTCATGAGCCTTGTAAATTTGTCCAAACTAAGCCTTTTTCTACTACACACTTATTTTTATCACCAGTAGTTATAATACATCTTTGCAGTCCCACTTCAGGTTGTAGTAAATTGTTGTTTTCTCAACTTCTTTGAAAATATTCTCGCCTAAAGATGTTCCCCACTAACTTTTTACAGAAGCTAATTCTTTAGTCATTTCAAGCATGGAGTTGAAGCTTCAACTAAAATACAATTGAGTGGTATCTGTAACATCTGTCAACTCATTAAGATCCAAGAGGATCACTTGAAATCATTTGCCTTATTTTTTAAATGACTATTCATGTTGCTCCCAATTTTCTCAATACTCCAAGTAACTGTTCTTGCTAAATGACTACTAGTGTTAAATAAGTATACTTGCTGCAAATACATTTTCTTCTGCTGCTGCAATCAAATGCAATTAATTCACCACTGGCAAATGGCTTTCTCTGCCTCACAAACAAGCCTCTCAGAAACTTTGGATAAAGCCTCACTTTCACTATTTTTTTTTTTGAGACAGAGCCACAGGCTGTCCCCCTGGGTAGAGTGTCGTAGCATTAAAGCTCACAGCAACCTCCAACTCCTGGGCTGAAGCGATTCTCTTGCTTCCACCTCCCAAGTAGCTACACAGGCACCCTCCACAATGCTCGGCTACTTTTTAATTGTAGTTGTCATTATTGTTTGGCAGGCCTGGGCTGGATTCAAACCCGCCAGCTCAGGTGTATGTGGCTGGTGCCTTAGCCACTTAAGCAACAGGCGCTGAGCCTCACTTTCACTTTTTATAAAGAAATTAATTCTGCAATGACGAGATATTCCATTTTTAATTCTCTAATTTTTATAACCATTGCTTTTCTGTGGGTTGGGAATATCATGATAAGAACTTACTGTGGCAATGTCAATATATATTGTATTCTTTTAGCATAGCTATAATGTTACTGCATAATAAACACAATGATTTCCATTTCAATATCAAAACAGTTCACACTCCACATTGCCCTAAAATGGCAACATTCAAACTCCACTTTTCTCTTTTTCTCTTGTTTTTTCATGATGGGTATGCACTGTAATTAAAAAAATAAAATTGTCACAATAAAACAATACATATGTGGCAGCGGCTGTGGCTCAAGGACTAGGGCACCAGCCTCATATACCAGAGGTGGCAGGTTCAAACTCAGCCCTGGCCAAAAAAAAAAAAAAAACCAAACAATACATATGGTACTTAAAATGCTATCAAGTTATAAGCGCATCATTGAACTTGATAGTGCAACAGTCCAAAATAATGAGATTTGATTAATCCAACTAGGGCCTGAACTGACAAAAGCACCACACTCTGTCACAACTACTCAACTCTCCTATTATAAAATGAAAGCAGCTGAAGACAAAACATAAATAAATGGGGTGGTTATGTTCCAATAAAAACTGAAATTTGAATTTCACATAAATTGTACATGTCACAAAATACTCTTTTATTATTTTAATAATTAAAAAATGTAAAAGGCATTCTTAGTTCTTAAGCTGTACAAAGCAGTGGGCAGGACTTGCTCACAGGCTGTAGTCCGCCATCTCATAATTTAATTTATACTGGGTTCAACTCGTAAAACAAAAGAACCAAAACTAATAATGAACAAAAAACAAGGACAAGACCAATAGCTTCAGGTTTAAAAAAAAAAAAATTCTATGATTAAAAAAATCTGCAAGGCAATCTTTTATAAAGTCTATATTATACCTATTCAAATGCATTAGTAAAATTTTAAAAATAAAAAGACCTCTGAAACAAAATTTTAAAGCAAATAATCCTTTTATATAATAACCACATCCAGATTTGCCTATAAATTGAAAGATTCATACACATGATTTCCTTAAAGAAGTGTTCCAGAGGACTCCTTTGAAATAAAGTTTCTTATATCTTTTCCTATTTTGTTATTCCTTGAAGTCAAAGAGCATATTTTTTATAAACTTATTCCTATCCTCCCACCATCTTCCATTTTACTAAACACCAACAAAAAGAATACTATAAGCTTAGTTTCCTTAATCTGATATAAGTATTAATATTTTTTTTTGAAACCACAGTAAATATCGCACCCAATAGTAAAAAAAAAACAATTTTTTTTTGAGGCAAAGTCTCACTTTGTCACCCCCGGTAGAGTGCATGGCATCAAAACTCATAGCAACCTCTAACTCTTGGGCTAAAGCAGTTTTCTTGCCTCAGTCTCCCAAATAGCTGGGACTACAGGTGTCTGCTACAATACCCAGCTATTTTTAGAGACGGGGTCTCACTCTGGCTCTGGCTCTGGCTCAGGCTAGTCTCAAACCTGTGAGGTCAGGCAATCCACCTGCCTCGGCCTTCCCAGAGTGCTAGTATTACAGGCGTGAGCCATCACACCCAGCCTCCAATGGTAAAATATTAAAAGCTTTTCCATTAAAATGAGGAACTAATAAGGGTATCTGCTATTCTCACTTCAAATGAATATTAAATAAACATTAAACATTCCAATCCTTACTCTTTTTATTTTTCTTGCTTAAATAGGTTAATACCTTTAAACAAGAAAAATAAAAAGAGTAAGGATTGGAAAAGAAGAATCGGTATCACCACCTCACATTTGTGTAACACTTTGCAATTTGTATATGCTTTCACATATAG